TAACGATAACAGATTTTACTTAACTACATATATATATATATATATATGAATAAGTTGATTCATGATAAGTTGTTTGCATCAAAATAAAGAAATTGTTAATGATACAATTATCTAATAAATTATGACTTTATTATTTCATGGTTAATACTTATCTTGTCAAAGCAATTAAAAATTTTGAATTGAAATAATATAATAATATTATTAGTGTAAAATATTTCGATATCTCATTTTTAATTCCTATTCACATAATTTTTGTGAATCTATATATATAATATATATGACTTTTTCGTTTTTTTTTTTTGTAAACCATTCTTTGAATCATTCATTCTTTATCTTTATTTTATCCATTTATTCATTTAATTAACATTTAAAAATTAAAGAAAGGGAAGAACTTCTTTTGAAATTCTTATTTAAATTCACATAGTAGGATGGATTAAATATACCTTTAGTTTATATAGAACTAGTCAATATCTAATGCCACATATAATTGTGTTTCTTCCATAACAAAAATTAACTATTTATATTTGAATTTTAGATAAAATTAGAATCTAAAATTTTGATTTTTCTTCTAAACATATGCAAGAATTTGCTTATAACCATTAGGTTCTAAATACCTAACTCTACCCCTTTTTTATATGTGTATATTGATTACAATTCTCGAAGTAAATGACAATCAATTATTTTAGGTAAATTATTTTCTATGTTTATAATAACAGATTGAATTAAATGTTTATATTAATATATTTTAATTGATAATGTCAATAACATTTACAAAAATGTCATAATATTCTTTCTTCAATGATAATCTATTTTAAAAAGTACTATTATTAAATATTATACATAAAATAAAAAGATTATAATACTTATCAAATATTACAACATAAATGACATAAAGCAAGAAAACAACTACTCAAAATAACTTAATCTTTAAAAAATCTTTCAAAAATTACCACTAATGGTTAAAAAAAAGTTGCAATAATCTACTCTTAGATATTTAAATTTGAAAAGGGCACGTGATATAAATATTTGATCAGTACAATAAATATTAAAATTTTATGTAGAGTGCGTGTGTGTGCGCGTATATCATTCATAATTTAGTTTATTAATTAAATATTTACTTGTCATAAGAATGGAGTTAAAATATATAAAGAGAAAAATAAAAAAGGAAAAGAAAGAAAAATTTATAAAAAATTACATAAACCTTCACTTCACAAGCTCATACATAACGGTTTCTTACATAAACCTTCATCACTTAGAAGTACACAAAAAGGCCAAATCTTTTAATCATTTTAAGATCAGTTGTTATTGTTATAATTATATATATATATATATATTAGATTATTTCTTTAGTATTTATTCATTTCCCTAATTAAGTTATCATTAAAATGCACAGTGCAAACTAGCCATTATACCCATTACCCATTAATCAAATCGAAGTTTCAAACTTCAAACAAAGTAATCCATTACACCCAACAAAAATCCTGATACCTAAACTCATTCATGAATTTTTAACAAGTACAGCAAATATAAAGAAAAGCAGTCAAATTTCCATTCAAATTTTCAGATTCAGTTGCTAAATGACTTTACAGGGTGATTAAAAAATAAAATTAAAGCTACCTACACTCTGCAACTCTGCTAGTCGAAGCTTCCCTCTTCCTTTCCTTTATCTTATTGCTCCTTCCACCTAATTATCACAAGCGATCTAAAAAACAAGAACACAAAGTAAAAAGAAAACAATCATTTTAACTCAGTAGCATCCTTGGTCAGCCCTTTTTCACCTTACTGTTTTTCCCGCAAAAAACCCAGCAATTCTTCCTCTTTTTGCTTCTCTGAACACTCCAAAAATCCCTCGCAAACCCTCCGTTCAATCATGCTCTCCTCTATTTTCTTAAGAAAACTTAGCTCCCCCTTTTTATACCCGAAGAAGAAGCATCTTCGCCATGCTCAGACCTCCCTTATGTTACACCAGCCGAAGATGCTTCTTGGGTTTTCCTCATGCTTTGATCAGGTGCTGCATGGTTCATCTTCGAT